TTCTAGGAGATGAGAGGAAAGAGGGACGCTTGATGAGTTAAAACCTATGGTTTTAGGGATTAGTGTCTTTTGTTGGAAACTGTCCCCCATGTTACAGTGAAGGAAGAATTAGAATCTTACAAGCATCAACGTTGTTTCACCAGTTATCACTACAAAAAAACCAAAAACTGATCCAGATTTTTCTCCAAAAGTTTCTTTCAACCTGATTTAAATTTGTTGTTAAAGAAATCCCAAATGAATCTAAATTTGAATTCACTGTACATATGACTCAACACCTTTACTAAGTTAGCAGGCAGTGATGGAGTCATATTGCTTCCTATTTCAAACTCACTTTGTTGTTTGACAAAAGAGCTCACCTAGCCCAGAGCCACCAGACATCCAAGATAAATCTTAACTTCTTGGTGCTCTGCTAGGAAGATTGATCTAAATTTCATAGTGCTTAACAGTAACGTCAGACTTACAGAGTCTGTATTACATTCCTTTCTGCTGAAAAGTTAATTTAAAAAAGGAAAATGAATCATTAAAGCAAAGTGACAGATCTCAAGTCAAAGTCAGAATTTAGGACTTTGAATTGAGTAGGCTAAAATTTAAAATTGGTTTTCCATTGTAAGCAAGATAGCTGAAACTCAGTGGTCTTCATAATTTATATGCCAAGACTTAGACGGCAAGAGGATTCTCTTCCCTTTAGAAGAGTTGATGACTAGGCAGGAGTTGTACAGGGAATTTTAGGAAATGGTTCTTGTCATATCTTCAGCTCCTGCTGTAGAAGAGCAGAGCTCTGGAACCAGATCTTGATAGGTAAGTAAGAAAAGAGATGAGCTTGTTTCAAAATATTTAAGACTTTTTTTTGATTGAGCAGGAACTGAGAGCATAGAATCAGTGTTTAAAAAAAGCTTTGCAGTATACCATAGTACATACAATAGTATAAATGCAGTAGTATAAATGCATCAGCTAATGGGTTAGCTAATGCAGAACTGTTCTTTCCTTCAGTTTGTTCAGTTGCCATTGATTTCCTAATTTTTCTGTTTCTTCAGCTTGTGACACCACTTACTCGGGTTTTAGTTAAGCATACATAGAATACCAGTGCTTAGGCATTAGATAGAGCTTGTCACATAGGGCTCCTATACACATGCAGGGAGGCTGCTCGACACATTGTAATTCCAGCACATCAGAGAAGAATTGATTAATAGAGTCTGCTGGAGCGTGGTAATTACTGTGCTCCGGCAGACTCTAGCGTCCGCACACTGGAAAATGGCAGTGGGGCACTTTAAACTAAAGCTTGGTCAATGAGCTTCAATTCAAGGCGCTCTGCCACCTTTTTTCAGCGTGAGGACACTGATACACGTGACAGTCCAGGTGCTTTTAATTAACGTGGCTCTCAGAGTTGTGCTGATTAAAGTGCCTACACCCCCATCCTCCTGGACCATGTCTATAAATACCCATAGATCTCAAGTGCTTTACAAAGGCAGGTAGACATTGCAATCAACAACTTAGAGCTAGCACAGAAAAGGCAAACAACTTGACCAAGGGCCAACATCCTATTCTATTCTATATAGTTTGTAGACCATATATCTGACCAGAATATATGAACGTCATCCAGGAGGGGACGGGAGAAAAAGAGGTAGAGATGTTTGTCAGTGCCTGTTCAGTGTAATTACTGTCAGAGCTGGGAACAGTTCTCCTGACTGCTAGGTTTTGCTCTGTCCACTAGATCACCTTGTCTCTATTGTAATGTGTAAACTAAGAAATGTCCTTTTATAAATGCTTCTAGTACATTTATGGGATAACTGTACATCAAACTATCTTCCCTAGTCTCGATGTATCCACCCTTGAGTAATTAGTACTTGTACATTATAGTCAGATCATGAATAGGTGTTCATGGCTCTGTCATACTATGATCTGAAGGGCTGTCCTTTATGCGGGAGTGGTATTTCCTTGAGCTTTCACTATCCTCTGAGCACAGAAAAATAGTTGCTGGAGGATTTCCCAGGAACATGTGGTCCTGTGTCTACCTGTTTCCTCAGCTGGAAAATTCATTTCACAAGACGAATAATTGAGCTATGGGGCAGACTGTGGAGCAGGCAGCTGTGCTTTATACAGTTTACAAATAGTTTTCCTTTTTTTCTTTTTCCATTTTCAGCTACGTCATTTGTTTCCCAGAACACAGGGATTGGGATTTCTGTGCAGGCAGCCCACTTACTCCACGGCAGGGAGAAATTCACACATTGTTCTGAAGCAATACGCTTTCTACCCCTCTTGACATTTGGAAAGAAACTCTGATTTTGAAATGCTGTCTATTGAAAGTAGTTGTGCCACAACTTGGTCTAAGGACCATTGAAGTCAGTGGGACTACTCATATGCCTAAAACGTATCTCATGCTTAAATATCTTGCTCAGTCAGGCCTCAAATGAAGGGTGTCCCCCCAAATATATAAAATACAGTAACAAAATTAAGTCAGTATCATAAATTTTAAAATGATTAAATAGTTATTTACATGATAGGCCACACTGGCCCTTTTTGGAGATTTAAACATTTTTTCCTAGCATTGTATCAGAGCTTACACATTTTCTTAAGAGTTTTCCCCCATTGTTAATAAACAACCTCTGAAATAACACTAAAGATAGAATTCACAAATCATAGGCCTTAAGTGCATATATGTAGCAGAGCATTTTCAATTGGATGCTATAAATGCAAACGAATACTTATGTATACAGATGTGGGTTTAAAGTAATGCAGCTCCACAAAATGGGTTTTTTTGTAAATCAGTGTTTCTGTGAAAAAAAAAACTTAGTCAAAAAATTCTGATTAACTCTACTTTTAAATATTAACTTTTTCGATGCTTTTTTTTTTCGTTTTGTCAAAGCCAAAACATTTTATAGAGACACATGGACTATGTTTCAACTTTAGTTGTTTTTTCTGATTTAGGACAGGCTTTAGGACCAAATTTTCAAACTTGGAACTCATAATTAGAGCAGTAGTTATTTAACTCCGTTGCTTTACATGCCTCTTCCTGACTTTTTTAACTGCTTACTTTTGTATAGCACATATGGCCTGTAATATTGCTATCACAAAGGTCTTACAATAAAGCAAGTTAAGGCAAGCACTTAGTTTTCCAATTAGAAGTTCTGAGTTTACTTTTGTTTGAAATAGCCCCCAGTGTAAATATGTAGACAGAGAGTCCTTTATTTAATATAGGGTATCAGTTTGCTTCCCTTGGTCTCTAAACTTGGCACTTGTAAAATCTCCATTTGTGTCCACACATCTTGATAGGTAGATATGTGTCTGAGGACTTTGTGTATATTCTCTGGAATGTTTCTATTTGGGCTTCAGTTAGTTTAAAATCATTTCCTGTATGGTTACTCTGTAGCCCTTTATGTCCTTGGATGCTTTCATGGGACTTCATACAATCATAGAATTATAGAAAATGAGAGTTGAAAGGGACCTTAGGAGGTCGTCTAGTCCAACCCATGGCTCAAATCAAGACCATCCCCAACTAGATCAGTTCAGCCAAAGCTTTATCTAGCCCGGTCTTCAAAACCTCCAAGGATGGAGATTGCACCACTCTCTGGGTAACCTGCTCCAGTGGTTTACTACTCTCCTAATGAGAGAGATTTCCCTAATATCTAAGCTAAACTTCCCTTGCTGCAACTTGAAGACCATTGCAATTTATTTGGTCTCTTTCCAATTTGTCTACACCTTTTCTGTAGTGGGGGACCCAAAGCTGGACACACTACTCCAGGGCTAAGGACAGACATTACGCAATAAACCAGTTTAAGTGAGCAGAAACTGGCTAAACCTGTAACAGATGTTCCGTGCACATAAACCATTTTGTAAATGGCTGAAACCAGTTTGTGATAAACCTGGTTGAATGTAGTATCAGACTTAACTGATCTGTGTCAAACCAGTTTATGCAATGTCTGTCCCAGACCCCTTGCTGGTTTAAGTTAAACCGGATACCCCCAGTGTCCTGGAATACTTTCCCGGCTGGGTGGGGCTGTGTGCTCCACAGCAGAGCTGCCCCCTGCCCCCTTCTCCCTGGCTGCAGCTCTGTCAGAAACTTGCAGGGTGCTCCCCTCCTTCTTCCCCGCCCCACTCCCTGCTAAGCAGGAATTCCCCCTCCCATCTGCCTTGCTGAGAGGTATCTGTGTATTAGCTAGCAGGCCACATGCTGGCTACAGTCCGTACTGTGACAAAGGCAGAATGAACAGGTAGCTAGTAATGTCCCTCTGTTGTTTTCTAAACGGGGTGGTAAACACTGAGTTAGGGGCGATAAACAGTGTTATCAATTCCCTGCTGGGCTAATCAGAGCATCCTGCTGAGGCTGGCCATGCCCTCCCTCAGCTCAGTACTGTGGAAGGGAAGGCAGGGCTGCTCTAGTGCCCCCAGCCTCTAGCCTGAGCTACTGCAGGCATGTGCCTGCATTTCTGAAATGAAAAGGGATGTCTATCCACCTCCAAATTGGTTCAAGCTTTGCAGGTTAAACTAACCTGCAAAGGTTGAATCATTTCAGGCTCAGGCTTTTTGAATGTCTGTCCCTAGCTGAGATGTGGCTTCACCAGTGCTGAATAGAGAAGAATAATCACTTTTCTCAATTTCCTGGCAACGTTCCTGATAATAAAACACGGTATGCTGTTAGCCTTTTTCACAACAAGGGCACATTGTTAGCTCATGTTCAGCTTACTGTCCACTGTAGCCCCCAGGTCCTTTTCTGCAGAACTGCTACTTAACCAGTCTGTCCCCAGCCTGTACTGGTACATGGAATTATTCCATCCTAAGTACAGGATTTTGCACTTCTCCTTATTGAACCTCATGAGATTTCTTTTAGTTCAGTTCTCCAATTTGTCAAGGTGTCTGTGAATCCTAGCCCTGCCCTCCACTATATCTTCTGCTACCCCCAGCTTGGGACTTGAGTCAACTGTGGATAGCATATTGTGTAATCATAATTAATTATACATTTTGTACATGAATTTTGTTTCATGAAGTGTCTGCTATTTTCACAGGTACAGTGGGAGTGCATAAATCCCAAGTATAAAGCAAAGAAGAAGAATTACAAGAATTCAGGCATTGTCATTCTTAACCAATGCAAGGTACTTATATTTGAAAGAATAATCTTTGTCTGTTCTTATTCCCAGTTTTTAATAATGTATATTTAAAGAGTTATTGGAAATGGAGATGACAAAAAAATAGAAAGAAGTCAAACTGTGATACTAAAAATGATAACACTGAAAGGACAAAGGAAAACTGTTTTGGTTCTAACAAGTCTCTTTTTTAGGCATCGTCATATTATAAAAATAGAGCAAAACCTGTCATAATAAGCTACCACTAAAGGAACCAGCAACAAATGAGTTGCCTAAGGGATGTCATCATTAGGTAAAAATGGATCAAGGCTTTGTCAGGTATGCTTTAAAGTAGGTGCTTCAAGTGCACTTCTGCTTGTGGCATCTTCTTGCTCAACAGAAATGATCTTAGTATGTAGTCAGAGTCAAATTCCCCTACTAGAGTAACAGAAATAAATTGCACTGCTTTTCATTCCTGTTAGCACTATGAAGTCACCACAGCTGGAGGAAGTTGTCTGAATTCATCTCCTTGCACATCATCAGCACAATTGCTTACAAATTTCAGGTCTCCCTGAGGAAGTACACAGAAGCCCACAGTAATGCACAGAAGTTACAGAGGATTTCATCTGAATATATAGCATTAACCAGGTGTAACTAGCATATGAATGTAATATTTATTACTAGTGATGATGAAGGAGAAATAAATAGCCCAACTTGACTCTAGGGCCAGGTACAGACGGTCAAAAAGCCTGAGGCTAAATTGATTAAGCCTTTGCAGGTTAGTCTAAGCTGCACAGGTTAAATTGAAACAGAAATGAACAGACATTTACTTTTGATTCAGAAAATGCAGCCACATGTCTGCAGTGGCTCAAGCCACAAGCCAGGGGCCACTACAGTATGGCTCTCTGGCTTTGTGTTTACTTCCTTCTCCTACTGCCCTCAAGGTCGCTGGGATTTGCAGTCCAGAATCACAGTAGCAGGACTCTACAGGGTTGCTCATCACTTCCTCTTCCTGCTTCCAGGTGCATCTGGGATTTCTAGTCCACGGTTGCAGCCAGCAGTAAGTTTGAGCAGGGGATGGGGTGTTTAACCCCAAACCCCAGCTGGGGTATGCCTGAGGGTGAAGGCGGAAAGGCGTTCACACCCCCCCACCCCCTGCAGACTGGGCTGCATCCCCAGCCGGGCTTGCCCTCCAGCCCCCTTGTCAGCCAGCCCTTACTGCTCCAGCTAGGGAGCAGAGGGAAAAGGCCAGCCCTGTTCTTTGGAGCAGACAGCACAGCCCAGCCCAGAGCTGGAAAATGCTGGGATGCTGAGGGACTGTGACTTAACTTGAACCAGGAAGGGGTCTGGGGCAGAAGTTTCATAAACCGGTTTGACCCAAATCAGTTCAGTCTGATACTACATTCAACCAGGTTTATCTTAAACCAGTTTCAACCATTTTGAAACTAGCTTATGTGTACTGAACTTCTGTTCTTTTACAGGTTTAGACCAGTTTCTGATCATTTAAGCTGATTTATGTGTAACTTCTGTCTCTAGCCTAGAAGACCAGGCTGTTTCTGCTGCTGGAAGCTGTAAAACTGTATCTGTACCTGTAAATAAAGCACAGGAGATATGTAAATCATAACAGAAAATAAACATGGAATTTTCTAATGCCTTATTTACAGATTCACTTTATAGAGTAGTGCTGCCAATTGTGGCTTTATAAATAATATGTATTTGACTTTTGACCTTAAAGGAAGGGTCCAGTTACTTTGAGGGAAATGATGAAATAAAAAAATAGAGTTTAGATCCATAGAGGAATAAAATTCAAAATCTCCCATGGAATGGGAATTCCCAGCTTTCATTTTGAAAAAAGATCAAAGTGCCATTTGTTTTGACTTTTCCAAGCAAAATTGCTTAGCATCTCCAAGCAGTGAGGACACTGAGCAGCCCTGGTTCCATGTTCCTTCACAAACAGGTCAGACTCTGCCAATCTGTCTTCTGGTCAGGACACCCAGGCTAGTTACAAACATTCAAAAAGCCTAAGGTAGAATCTATCTAAGCGATGTGATTTTCTGTAAGCAGTGTAGTTTAGATCAGTAGTGAACAGGACACATTCACCCATTGTGATGGGGGGCAAATCTTAGACCAGGTACTGCCATTTTTAAACCAGTCTATGTGTACTGAACTTCTGTTCTAGTACAGATGGGTTTTCACTTACACCAGTAAAGATGTACTGTCTGTATCCAGCTCCAAAGCTTCCCAGGCCACTAAGTTCCCTTCTCCCCATCATGGAAACTGGAAACTTTTAAAACCCTGGCAGAAGATGGCTTCTTCCAAGTTCCTAAATCCTGTTAGGCAGGAATCTGGGAAGAAGCACAATGAGCAAGAAAGCAGTCTGCAAAGCCTGACTGATTTTTATTGGAAGATTTCACAACATCAGCATGTTTCTACGTAATATATCAACAGGCATTTTCCAATGGAAAAAGTTCCATCAGAAAATTTCCAGCTGTGCTCCTGATTTTTCTCCTTTTCTCATGCCTGTCTGGGGGATAGACTGTGACAACCAGATAATACTTGGTGGGCGCATCTACACGTAACGCTATGCCGCTGTAGCAATGTGCTACATTGCCATAGCAACGTGTTCCCTCATTATAGCATGCTGCTACAGCAACATAACAGCTAAAAATAACTGTGCCATACGGGGTGTTACTGCACCGTCATTCAGGACTTCCAGAAGGACCGTAACAACAGCACCATATGGCCACGTGTAGACACACCAAGTATCCTGCGTTACTGAGGTATACTCTCAACCACAAATCTATAATGTCAATGTTTTTGTCTGGGAAGTTTGACATGTTTCATTATCAGAGGTTTCAGACTTTAGGGCATGTTTCAGTGCATTTAACAACATCTTTGTAAAATAATTTGTGACGAATTCTTTTAAAAAACAAGGGTTTTGGGGAGCTAAGGAGAAATAAAGAGACAATGGAAACTGCAGGCTCATAGAGTGGCAGGTGTTTTCTGGTAATACCAGCATGCAATAAAATATGCGGTGCAATATGCTACTCATAAGAGTCACCCAGAAAGAACATCTTTGTGTGTCCCTCCCTTATTCATCCAAGTTTCTTCCTTTGAATACACAAAAAATACCTGGTCCTTCTCCTTGAAGCAATCACAAAATTCTTCTTGACTTCTGTGAGGTGATTGATATTCTGTGTTGCCTTTGATGTGGGTACATGCTTTAAGTAGTTTTAAAATAAATTTCAATGCTTTCTCTTCCTTCCTTTCTTATATGATAGTCTATCTCCCCGTCTCAGATCTCCACCCCTCCCCAACACTTTATTTTTCTTTAAACAAGCTGTTGCAGTCTGAATTTTTGTGGTGATACAAATAAGGACCTTTGCTTTCTTTTTTCCAGATCCACAAGATGCATTCTTTCTTAGATTACATCATGGGTGGATGCCAAATACAGTTTACAGTAAGTGTCTTTCTACTGCAATGCTTTGCAACACAACAAAGTCCTTTCAGACATGAAATTCATCACCTTCAAAGGAAAAAGAAAATCTGTCATGTTGTTTTGCAAATTTCTTGATAAATTATTAAGCTCTCTTTGCAAAATACATTATGACTGGAAAGTGAACTCTATTAACACAGCAAGGTTTTCAAAAACATAATGTTTTTCTTTTATAGTGACAGGCGCACCATAACAACTGAAAACAGCATGATATATATGGTCAGATCCTTAGCTGGTGTAAATCATGGTACTTCCATCTACTTCAGATGAGCTACGCTGGCTTACAAGGGCTGTCTGTAGTTGTATGCAAGGCTCTAACCTGAGAATTTCACATGATTGTTTAGAGCCTGACTCTAGAAAGCATGTAAGGTCATGCTGAAATCAGGTTTGAACCAAATCAAATTTTGGTTTGCTGAGCCAACCAGACTCTTTAACCTGAATTTTCCTGTAGTGCCACATTGCTTCATAGGAGTGCTAGTTTTGAGTATTTTGTGCCTCCTTCTGTCTAAAAGTCTGCCCAGAAAGCCCAGTCCATCTCTCCCATGACCTAACATCATCTCCTCTCTGACTGCTGTACAGAAGGGCTGTGGAAGTTGATGTACCTGTGGAAGCTACGATTATGAGTGCACTACGAGAGTTGCACTATTGTTTCCTGTGAAATTATCTAAAAATATTGCAGGTTAGCTCAACAAACCTCACCCTGCCCCCTCTCAAATATTGTAATTTAATGGTTAGAAATTTTTTTACCAGGGATCAAACAATACGTTCTTCTTTAATCTTGTTCTTATAAATAATTTGACCATTTAAACATTTAAAAAAAAATCAGCCTGAAGCAGGGACCTAGAATGTAAGATTTCAGCACACACTGCTAGCAGTCTTATAATGGGAAGGAGTGGGCAGTCTTAAATATATAAGTGATGTTACCAACTCCTTTCATAATATATCAACAGATGCAGTTTTCTAAGTCCCTACACATCAGAAATCCATAAATACTAGCTCCTCTAAGGTTGGCCTGCTATCAAAGTAAAAAAAAAAAAATCCCTTGCTGAACTGCTGCACACCCACCTACACTCAGCCACTTCTAATTCCTCGACCTTTAGGTCCTTCCTCCTCCCACACACTTTCTCTGAGGAACTGATATAACAACAGGGCTGTACTAATTCTTATTCAGCACCACAAGTGAGAGTTGCTGGATTCCAATCAATAGGATTAATTTATATACATAACAAAGAAAGTGCCTAACAGTATTGGAATTTTCTGGGACAGCTTAAATTTTGATATTATGTCCCAGTGTCCCCAAGGACAGCCTGAAACGTTACTTTTATCCCAAGTTTGAAATACAGGTCATGAATCGGGGTCAGACAGCATGTTGTCGAGTAGAGACAGAGCAACACTGCCTGGTGCCAGATGCACACAGCTGTGCTGCTGCCAGTTTGGAGATGGCTCTAGGCTTTCTCCAAAGTAGGAGGTAATATGGCCACATTTACATGGTGCTGCTCCCAGCCTAATTTGGTCCCACCTACAGCTCTGCACTAAGGCAGCTACATTCACAGCTGGAAGTGGTACCAACAACTTCTGGTCCTGGAGGTCCGTGGAGTTCAGGGCTATGTCCCCAGAGGTTGGCTGCTTTCAAAACGTTTCTCCTCAGACGTAGCCAGAGTAAGTTGAAAGGGAGGGTCCGATTTTCTTGACTTAAAACAACATGAACAATAAACTTCTGTGACCTTTTCCTTAATTTTTCCTCACTGACACCCACTTCACCAAACCTGTGTACTCACCTTATGTAGCTTAGAGTTTTTAAGTATCCATACCAGAGGCAGTCTTTTCTTCAACAGCATTTAAAGATTAGAAGGCTGATCAAAGCAGCTCTTTTGTGCATATATGAATACCAAATAATATGGTTGTACAAAAATTTTGATAGAAACATGAGATGAGAAGAGTATTATAAATGTGAAAAGGTCTTGAGAATATCTATTACTATGTTATGGTGTTCCATTATTCATGAGTTATTGAATGTTTCTTCCGATTTTTTTTGTTCAAGTTAACATAGTCAACAGGTATTATTTGTCTCGATACCCAGTACAATCCTTGTTATAATTTTTGTTGCATCAACATTTTAACAGAGTTCAACCTAGCTTCAGCATGTTCCTGTGAAACGTTTGCGAACTGTTATTTACGTGCACAAATATTTTAATTTACTCACAAAAATAACGTGTATTCCATACACGTGTGTAAATGGGTGCTGTATATGTACATTCTGACGCTATCACTCTCAATTGCGTGGTTGGGGGGGAGTCAAAACACCAGAAATATGCCATACTGTTTCATTTTGGAATGTATACCGATAATTTATCTGTACTTAGTGCAGCCTTTTCAAATTACCCAGCAGCCTGCAGTTAAGTTGTTTACTGTTTGCATTCATTTCATAATCAACTAGTACTGCACTTGTCTAAGGCACTTTCTTGAAATACTCTATGCCTAAAACACCCATTCCCTGTAACTTAGATTTACAGTGCTAGAAATGAACACGTAGAACAGCATTTCTAGAATTCTTGAAAACTATTATGGAAAGTTACTATCAACATAGAAATGAATTCCTAAAAACTATGGCAATATTTTTCCTCTTTCCTCTTTTTCCTGAAGACACTTGCAGAGCTCACAAATTCATATCAAGTCATCCAACCCTTTTTTGTCTCAGAATTAATTATGTTTCCTTGAGTTCACGCAGTGTATAGGCTGTACACTGCAGCTGTGATCTGAAAAAGCATCTGATGGGGGAGGGAAACTTGAATGCTAAGCATAGGGTTGAAAACAAAAAGCTATAGCCTGGTGTACCTGCTAATTTAAAGCAGTAATGAGTGCTTTTGTAACCTCATGCTGTGAACTCTTGGGATACTTTGCACAGCCATTCTGGGCAGATAGTTCTTGGTTAGATCAAATACCTCAGAAAGCCAGACGTAAACTTTTTTCCCTATAAGACTATTTGTTAAGAAGCTTTCTTCTATGACGTTGATAATCAATAGTGCAGAATCCACACGGTTCCTTCCAGGAGGCTCTTATTGCAGAATGCTGTGTTCCTTGCCATATGAAAAATGTTCAGAAGAAGTTGGCAAAGTTAATAGTTTTGTAATCAGAAGACATTATCTTCACTTTAGGAGGTATAGCAGAAAGAATGTGAAGAATTCTAAGTAACAGGGCGTACAGGTAGTTTGTGTGTCAAAAGGTTATGATAATAGGAAAAACTGGTTATTTGTTGACAGATCTGATAGGAGCAAACTTGAATATAATCTTTTACTATGGAATCAGGGGCAGCGCTTGGGAGGCTTGGGGAGCCTATAGCCACCCCAAAATTCACCTTAATCCCCTGTAGCCACCCTTCCCAGCCCTCCTGTCCAAACCCCGCTTCTCCTCCCAGAGCCACCTCTGCCCACCCTGCACAGCTGAGCCCACCTTGCTCCCACCCACAGCCCGCAGAGGTGTAGTGCTCCTGGCCTGGCCAGCTAAGTATTTTTGGCCAGAAGGTGTATAGCACGGCCCCCAAATTCTCTGTCTAGCCCACCTCAGCCCTCCCACCAGGAAGAGGCTGGCACTGCCCCGAGTATGGAATACTCATATAGCACAGTGGGAAGCTATGGAAATGCAAATACTTCGGGCGTTGAAAGATATACAGGACAAAAGGACCTGCAGGGAGCAAACCAGGAAAGCCAAGACTGCAACGGAAGTCCAACTAGTTACAAAAAAGCCTTCAGTTTGGTATCCCACGATCACCTCTAGGCGAAACTGGCCAGTTGTGGCCTTGGGTCCACCACAATCCGCTGGCTGGGGAATTGGCTCCGTGGTCGGACCCAGAGGGTGGTGATTGATGGAAGTCAATGATCATGGTGCTCTGTGACCAGTGGGGTCCCCCAAGGCTCTGTCCTTGGGCCTACACTGTTCAACATGTTCATTAATGATGTGGACATTGGTATCAGAAGCGGACTGACCAAGTTTGCTGACGACACCAAACTCTGGGGGAAAGCAGCCACACCTGAGGACAGAAGGGTGATCCAGGCTGACCTTGACAGGCTCAGGAAATGGGCAGGTGAGAACCTGATGGTGTTTAACACCAAAAAATGCAAGGTTCTCCACCTTTGGAAGAAAATCCTGCAGCATCCTTATAGGCTTGGCAGTGCTACGTTGGCTAGGACTACGGGCAAAAGGGACTTGGGGGTCATGATTGACCATAAGATGAACATGAGCCTTCAGTGGGATGCTCCACCTAGTAAAGCGAGCAAAATGCTGGCTTGCATCCATAGATGCTTCTCAAACAAATCCCAGGATGTCATTCTCCTGTTGTACTTGGCCTTGGTGAGGCCACAGCTGGAGTACTGCATCCAGTTTTGGGCTCCACAATTCAAAAAGGATGTGGAGAAGCTTGAGAGAGTCCAGAGAAGAGCCACACGCATGATCAGAGGTCAGGAAAACAGACCTTACGACGAGAGGCTGAGAGCCATGGGACTCTTCAGCCTGGAAAAGCGCAGGCTCAAGAGTGATCTGGTGGCCACCGATAAGTTTATCAGGGTGCTCACCAGGATCTGGGGGGGATGTCTGTTCACCAGAGCGTCCCAAGGGATGCCAAGGTCTAACGGTCACAAACTCCTCCATGACCATTTCAGGCTAGACATAAGGAAGAACTTCTTCACTGTCCGAGCCCGCCCCCAAGGTTTGGAACAGACTGGCGCTGGAGGTGGTTCAAGCACCTACTTTGAATGCCTTCAAGAGACATTTGGATCTTTATCTTGCTGAGATCCTATGACCCCAGCTGACTTCCTGCCCCTTGGGTAGGGGCCTGGACTCGATGATCTTCCAAGGTTCCTTCCAGCCCTAATGTCTATGAAAATCTAGTGAATACACTGAAGGGAAAATTCCTGCTTTGACAGAGGATTTAGACTGGCCTGTTTTTCCTTGTACTACTTGGATACATTAGCTGAGTAACACAAATCTTTTACCTACTTGCATACACATAGCTGTGATCCTCAGCCTGAAACATTGCAAGGGTAGAGGTGCTACATGCTATTAGTTTGGAACCATTGAAAATATAATTCCACCCTTCCCTAGAAGTTCTCCACTAAAGAAGCTAAGATATAAAGGGATCAAAACCAAACATTTGCAATGCAATGCATCAAGAAAGGAGTAGCCTTGTTTCTTGCAGAAAATTGAAGGGAGCCATCTTCCTAGCATCCTTTGAGGCTCATTTTTTAAAAGCCTGACTGCTTTTAAAGACCTCACTGTATGCAGAGGAAATATATAATGCTTTTGCAAAAGAGCTGTAATTGTAGTTAGTGATGGAATTGAGAGGATGTGTTCCTTTTCTATGTACTGAGAAGATTGTACCATGGAGAAAAATGATCGGCTGCATAAAAACATCCCAATAGGAAATTAGGGTATTCGTGGTTTATACATACACAGGCACTGAGAAAATATATACTACAGAGACACTTTCCAACAAAGTAACATGTTACATTGAGGTTTTCTTCTCACCCCAAACCCTAACCACAGACTTTCTGCCTTGCTCACAGAACTCACTGCTCATTCCTATATGCTGCTATCACTTTCAGTTAAAAAGCACCACATGACTTTGGCAAACAGCCATGGCAAGACAGCAGGACTAGCTCAATTCCCTCTAGTGCATTTTACTTCAACCTCATTAAGAATCTGTTTTGAGATTATCTGTGAAAAAGGCCACTGCAAAAACTTTTTAAGAGCTGTTCCCAACTTCTCTGTTATGCAGGAAAATTTTTGTATTTTACAGGGATTAGAAACAACAATTATCGCCCTAAAATCAATGAAAAATATTTTTAATTGCATTCCAGAGTAAATGCAAGTACAGTAGTAAATAATCATATGAACCAAGATTTTCAAAAGTAAAAGCCTAAAGTTAAGTTCCTAAATTAAGTGAGACAGCTACATCAGTAGCCTGATTTTTCAAGTGCTAAGTACCCACAAAAACTGGGAGCTGTGATACTCTCAGTACTTTTGAAAGTCAGGCCACTGAATTAGCTACCTATCTACAGCTACAGAATCCTAATTATATACAGCTGCTTTTAAAAATACTGTTCCACAGGCCTTGATCCTGCAAATTCCTGTGTGTCACACAAGAAACACTGTTTTTTTAGAATACATCCAAATGTGAGCAGAAACCATTGCTGGACAAAGAGACAGATTAAGCAATAAACATTAGGGGGGTGTGAAATAGGCCACATTTGATTCAGACTCGGCCTGAATCAGGGGACAGTGATTTGATTCAGCCAAATCTGAATCTGAAGATTCAATGCTGATTCAGAGAATCAGCGATTCGGCCATAGACACAGCTTTAAATGTCTCTTCTGAATACCTTGAGGTACCAGGCGTGGCTCATGAATGCTGAAATAGTGGGGTGGATGGAGCATCCCACAGGAGTGCGGGGGGGCTGCACGCCTCCCTGGCTTAGCGATTTGCTGTGGGGGGGATCCTGGGTGCCACCCCAGACCCAGGAGGTACTAGTCGCCAAGCTGGGGGGTGAGGGGCAGAGGGAGGGTCTCTTGCATGGTCTGTGGCAGACCCAGAAGTGAACAGGAAGTTCTTCTGGTCCACTTTTGGGTCTGCCGCCAAGCACACTGGGGACCCCCCCCCATGCTCCCATGGGACACTGCACCCGCCCCAGCATCTCAGCATTCATGAGGCACCTGGTACTTTGAAGTATGTAGAAAAAACTTTTAAAGCTATGTCTATGTCTGAATCATCAAATCTCTCCGAATCGATTTGGAGGGTTCTGATTCAATTCAGAGGGATTAAAGGGTCTCCTGATTTAATTTGGATTCAGAGATTCAGCCACTGAATCAGGCTGAATCAAATCAGCGACCAAAGCTTCGCACAGCCCTAATAAGCGTACTCTCCCATACAGAGTACTGTCTCAGCTCCCCCAGTTACTAACTTGCAGGAGTTCATGATAGAAAAGCCAAGTTCTGTATGGAGAATGGTTGTAGGCATGGACAGGTGCTCATTTCTAGCACTGTGAATCTCTGAGAAATGTGTAGTGCTAGAAATCTTCCTGAGAGAGGGAGTGAACAGGTATTCCAGCCTACAACCTTCCCTCTCCTCTGCTTCCCATGTCTTTCCCAAACCATCACCCTAGTCTACTCCTGTCCCCAGGAGTAGCCCCCATCTGAGGAGGTTTTTCATGCAGGAGAGATCTTTCTTTTTGAAAGAGGAAGAATCTGGCGTGTTAAGCGAGCGACCTAGAGGGAAGCCAGGAACTTTCTCTTTATAGATTCAAATATGAAGCAATTTCTTTTGTAGCCTTGGATGAGTCATGTAAAGGTGAACTGCAAAATAACAGTGCAAACCAAATTGAGAGCTGAATATCCATGTAAGTAACAGGTTTTGGGAAGAAAAGAAATGTTACAGAAATAAGCTTTAATTATAGGATTGTTTTAAATTGCTCTTTACTTTTGTGAATTGATTTCATTCTTACTGGTTCACTTAAGAGATTCTAGAATGCAGGATCACAAATATCAGAAATGCCGTTCCAGCTCTTGCAGCCAATGATTGCAATGTCACAAGACTGATGTGTTCTGGGATATCCTTAGTGATTTCGGAAATACAAAGAGAATTCCAAAAAAAAAATAGTTTTGAAAACATTTATTAAAATTCTGTTCTGGTGAATGTCTCATACAGTGTGTGGTGAGTGCCTTTAGCACAAAAATCTGTGCTTAACTCAAGTTTTATTTTTGCCCTGAAGCTCACCTTCAAGCTTCCTGTTATCTCCAAAATAGGGAGAGTTAATTAGTTAGTGGTTATGGAATTCTTTGAAGATGAAAAGAACTCTATAAGGACTAATTACCATTGTTACTAAAATCATAGCAAGTTTTAGCAGCAACTAAAAATGAAGGAAGGAATTTGACCTTATCTGGAGCTGTAATTTATATTTTCAATAGGGATTTTGACTCTGGGACTTTTTACTAGGCACAGATGTATGGCTCTGGAAGCAGGTGAATGGGAAAAATTTAATTGAACTCCAGAGCATAAGGCTAATTAGTTAGATTTTTAATAGTACAGAATTCTCTAAATAAAATACCAAAAGTTAAATTTGGTTGAGTTGATTTTATAATGTAATTTAAAAGTAAGCTAGAAAAACGAAGTATTGCAGTTCAAGAAAAAGCAACCTGGACTTACATACATTATGTATGATATTGTATATCATCTATTATAGCTAGGTAGAAAAACATATTGTAATGCAGAATGATCATTCTGCTGATGCTGATTTCAGTTCTATATATGGTGGTGCTACTAAAGTGTTATTGTAAGCTTAGATTGATTAAGTTCAGTTTTTCTTTTAGAGCTTTTTAGACAGCACCTGCTTCTGATAAAGAAATATAATCTTGATACCTATATATGAAACAACTACCTAATGCGACTCTTCCTCCTGTTTTCCAGGTAGCTATAGATTTCACAGCATCAAATGGTGATCCCAGGAACAGCTGCTCACTGCACTATATTCACCCCTATCAACCCAATGAGTACCTGAAAGCATTGGTAGCTGTGGGGGAGATTTGCCAAGACTATGACAGGTAAATAACCATGTTTGCTAACAGCATTGTCTAAAGAAGGTGTTTTAACAGTATGATACTAATGACTACATGCTGCTGGCTAAGGTAGTTCAATATTAGCTGCAGGTATCATTGCAAGTAAAGAAAGTTTTGATCTACAAATAACTTGACACACACTTGAACAAATCAATCATTTTAAATTGACTTCTGTATAGTAATGAAGTGTCTGTTGCCAAGAAATGTCATCAGTATGCCCATGAATTCTTTCATGGCCCTTACTGAATTGCACGTTTCAAAGCCTGGCTATTTGCATTACACTTGCATTTACAAATGCAACTAAAGCATCTTTCCTGGTGTGCTTGTGTGCATAGAACTAACTCTACCTGATTCTATAACAGTTTACAAATGATTCTTTATTTGAAACTGGATTTTGTAAAGGACCTAAGTATAATCATCATTGACACTTCTCTGCAAATAAATATTAAATGAAATGAAAACTTCACTAAAACTAAAAACAAAGGGAAAATCAGTAAAATAAAATCCCTTGGGGCCCTAGTCTTGATTATTCATATTCTATTGATTTCAAGTGTCTTCCTCCTCCTTTCAAATAAATTGGTCATTATTTATCTGAGTACCTTGTAAACTTCATTTAAGTATTTTTTTAATTGGCTCTCTATAGCATTGTTATACAGTGATTGATTTCAAAAGTAACTGTAGAGAGCAATCCTGGTATACGTGGCATACATTTTGTAACAACACAGAAATGCCAAAGCTCATAAAGGTGATAGTGAGTGCCAGTTTTATTTTTGCTAGAAAGGGGGAGGAGTTTACATATGTTGCATATAAGTGTATGCCCAGTACTTTGTTTAAAAACATTTCCATTTTCTGGCTAATGAAACATTCCCTCAAAGAGGAGTGAAAGAAACAGACGTGCTGATATGTTTGTATCAGAACATTTGATGGTCAAACCTGGGGACCTGCCGCATATTCAAATTAAAGCTGGATAGATACTTGCTGTAAAGTTTTTATACATTTTCAAGCACCAACTTCATAGCTGATTGGTTATTTTTATAGCTGGCTGGACGTTTGAATGGCATGATAATTACTTTGCACGTGTGGTCAGTCTAAATGTATTGCACAATTAACCAGTTAATTGCATAATATATGTAACGTCTGGCAGGTGCCTTAAGACTATGAATCTAAGCATAAAAAATTGTATTAAATATTTACTATTTAATACCACAGGTAGTACATTCTGGTGAACATTCAAGCAAGGAAAGAAACAAGAATTTAAGGACTCGTTTACACACAGTGTTAGCACTGCTAGAAGTTTAACAATTGAAATACTTAAAGCAGTACAACTTTATGTAGGCATAGTTATTCATTATAAATTGATTTGTCTCTGTATGGCTTATTCCTGTAAATATAAAAGCTAAGCTACAACCAGTCATCTTTCTGGGGTTTTTTCAGTAATATCACCAATAAGTTATGAGAGAAGATCTAACGCAGTATTCACATTTATGAAGCTTCATAAAAATGTTAATTAATAATAATTAAGATTACCTGGGGGAGAGACTAACTGGATTTCACTTCAAGTCACATCTATAGCTGGCACAAACAAAACATAAGGTTTTCATCTATATGCTCTCATTCATTTAGCTGACATCAAGCCCAGATATCCTGATAACCCAGGTTTCTGTGTGAGAATTAAAATTTCTGTTCCATGGAAAATTTAATTGCTTATTTCACAAAAGAAAAGCAAAAGAGATCAGGATTTCATCTGTTTTGGTCCAAAAGCAGGCAAAATTCAGTAGTGTGGTTTGAGCCTCACAGATTCAGTGAACCAAAAAATCAAAGGAGCTCTCTGGTGTAGTTAAGTGAAACACAAAGTATATACCCAAACCTTTGCGAAATGAAACCGACTTTGGCATAGCTCATTTTGTTTGCAACAATATCTGTAACATAGCCTGATCTGAAACAAGAGACTCCCTTTTATAGTATGGTATGGATATTATTTAGAGTCTTTTAAATTTAAAAAATTATATCTAATAAGTCCATTAATAGGAATCCTAGAGTCACTGGATGTTACAGCAGGTCACATCTCTAGCATGCAAAACAGAAAGCAAGATTTTCTTTTACATACTCTACATTCTGGCTGCTGGCCAGGCTCCGTTTGCCCACATTGCCACTACTGGATCCCCAGGTAAAGCTGCTGGGGCCAGCCCAGTAACCCCTACCGCACTCAGGGCAATTTGCCATGCTTCAGAGCATATGTGCTGGGGTGCTCCTCGGGAACAACTAGCAGCAGCGCAAATATGTGCTGCTGCTAGTTCTCCTTGGGGAACGCATGTTCCTGCTCATGAGGACACATCCGTGGGCTGCGTCCAAATCAGCGCAGCCGTGGGTATGTGGTGCCACAGACCTATCTGCGGTGCCACATGCTGCACATTCAAGCATTCCCTGCGCTGCTACCTTGTAGTGCGGTGGATTTTTTTGACCCTGGGAGACCCTGGGTCAAAAAAACCTGCACCTTAAAAAAGCAGGGCGGTGCGCGTGGTGGCAATGTGCACCGTCTAAAACCAGAGCTTGGCCAGGAGCAGTGCAGCTGCAGTTTCCCCAGCCCCCAGGACACCAGGTAAAGCTGCTGGAGCCAGCACAGTTGCTGGCCCCAGCCTCTCCTACCACACCCAGGGTAACTTGCTGTGCACCAGAGTGTATGTGGCACAGGCGTTCCCCAGGGACAAGCAGCAGTGGTACAAGTTGTGTTGCTGCTGCTTGTCCCCAGGGAATCAAACATCTGCACTCTTCTAGACACGGCAGTGGATTCCTGTTTGAAATCTCTGGGTTTATCTTGTGAATCCTGTTTGCACATCTAACAGTGCTAACATTGTGTAGCACCCCAGAGCACCTTTACAAGGATCTCAAGGCACCTCAAGGTGCAGTAACACCCTGGTTGAGCATTATTGCTTTAATACAATAGAATATTTCTAGTTCATCTGAAAACTCATTTATCTGTATGCTTCAGAGACTGAATGAATGGGGTTGAGCAGTATTGTAAAGTCTGAAAGAGTAAGATTCTGCGTCTCATCAGCAATATTCAGACAATGAGAAATAGTCTCTGATTGTTAAACTGATTGCAAAATGCTTCAGTGCTATAGACATAACTCAGTCTGATACTGGAACGGAAAAAAGGAATAGGTGTTCATTTGCGGAGAAAACTTTTTAACAGTAATTGCTTCAAGTCATGGCATCATTAGCCATTGTCATTAGGGATAGAAAAGATGAATTTTTATACATGAAATAATTAGTGGCTAAGAAAAAATAGCAATAGGTTATAAATGAAAGGGAAGCATTCAATTTATGTAAAAAATAAGATTCTAAAAATATACAAGAATTAGTAAAACGATTATAGTCACATTAAACACCATTTATAAAATCTATTAGATAAAACAAGTCTATAGATCTATGGAAGCAATTGTACTTCAAAATAAATTGTTAGTAAAAATGACAGTATAAAGTTAGAGATAGGTAAAATAATGCAATAAAATAGACTGTATTTTAACTAAAAATTTGCAAGTGCTTTCTTCCCAGAGAAAACTCTTGATATAATCTAACCACATTTAAATTGGTCAAATCCATGTGAAAAGTTTTTTTCCTGTAATGTATGAGTCTGTCCACAGACACAAAAATGAAATAAGAAACCAAATGAATGAAACTTCACTGTTCTCCAATAGAAATTATTATTTTTAATACTAGGCTCATCTATGACTATTGTGAGAAAAATTACCACTGAAAAGGAAATACATGGTAATTGTGCATATTTATTTTTATTCAGAGATGTCTATACCTAGTGTTCTTGTTTCACAAGTGAAAAAGAACATTTTTTAACTTCCAGTACTGCAAACCCATTCCAAGACACTGTAAATGTATTTCCTAATGTTCTGGACAATAAAGAAACACACAACACAGTTTATGGTGCAGATCATCAGAGAGTACCTTTGTACACTACTGGCCTACATTAGCACTTTTAGATAGTGTAAATCGTTAACTCATAATTGTACAATAATATAGAAGATGTATCCTTTATGGTGTTTTAAAAAGTCCTCTCACTGAAAGTCATTGCCAGAAATCCCAGCAACACAATATATATATATAGTATATTAAAACGGCTCACCTGATGGCCTCAGTCATTTGTTTGACAAGAGACAGTGTTGGAAAATGATCAACCAACCTTGAATGCCATTCATCATTACACAGTGATGGTTGGCTCTGTAAGAGGAAGATATATTGGCTGAACAGTGATTGTTTTAAGGACATGGATACAGTTACTTGGCTTAGACTTCTGATACACCTGCAAGCTGCCTGATAAATAATTTTGTAAATGATTCTGTTAATGTAGGATTTTGGTGATGATAGCATGAATGAAGTCAAGGGAGTAAATTTGAATTTGGATATCTAGCCAGTGGCCCTATGTTTGAAATACAGAAATCTGTGTTTTTCTGTGTATAATCTTCTAGCCTCCGAATCAGATTTTCTGTATTTTCAATTAAATATTTATTTTCCTTCAATGTTCTTCCCTGATTCATCAAGAAAATAGCTCAGAATTAAGTTTCCATGAAATCAAACTTAAACATGTATAAAGGTGCTTTCTTAAGGATACAGTTAATTCCTGCTCTGTTTAATACTTGGCTGAATCAGGACCTTTATATCTGAATCTGTTCCCAATTTGAAACTATGTTCAAATTTGAAACTATTCTCTTTTATGTTTAATTGTAACATATTTTTACATGTACATCCAATTTCAGGGCCTTTGTACTATCAATGTGATAGAAAAGGGACTTGGTCTAAATGAGACTCTGCCATATATAGTCAAATTAACATACACAACTTGAAAAAGATAAGGGGCAAATATACTCTTAAAATATTTAAAATATTTTGTCATATTACAGAATCATGGTCCGTCACACTCTGTCTGGGGCATTTTCAGTGTGCTGTATGTTCTGTCTTAGAAATTTGTGAAG